TGTATGTAACATCACCACCATCCTCCTGCACCATTGGCCGTACTCTTGAGTCCAGCAACTCTTTGATCATTGCTACTGTGTCATCATCGTCTTCAGTAATCACTGAAACAGAAACTATTTTGCACGAGTATGTAACAAGAATCGTAATACGCCGAGTTGGCAATAGTTTGAGTGGAAACTTGAAGGGACGAGGAAATTCGACCTCACGTTGTATGGAGTCTTGCGTCCGCTTGGATTCACAGGAGTTTCGCTGCTCTAATCGAGAAACTGATGCACATCGAGGACTGCACACAACACGCCGCCTGCGATGACGCGACAAATAATGATTGTCTTGTCCGCCTCCCATAGAAGAGAATCTGCGTGAGACCTTTACGTCGCACTAAAAGCCGGGGTAGGTGAGCCACTCGACAACTCTGATTCTGCCCTCGCACAACCCAACTTTGAAGGCATCATAACACCCTGCCCCCTCTCTTATAAACTGCAGAAGACTGCAGTACCACCGAAAAATGCAGGCCGGCCCTTTTAAGGCACCCTGTACTGTAAAACTGGATGCATTTTAGCTTTGTGAGAGCTCCAGATGGTAGCTTATGTACTAAGGAGACCTGTGACCCAAAGGCTAACTTGAACAATCCCGCAGCTTCACAGGGATTTACATGTCCAACCAAAATGAAGACCTGTTAATCAACATGAATCAACAAAATCTAGCGAAAGTGCAAAGTACCCCCTCCAAGCTGAACAGCGCCTGAACTAGTATTTTGTACAGTTTTGGGAACATGATGAATAAACTTGATGAATACATGCACAATCAACGAAGCTGTAAGGCCACAGTCCCCCTCTCCATGAAACATCCTTTCGTAGCAGGACCTTTTGAAAATGTTCAAGGAACCACGCAAATGATAAAAATTATTTTACCTGTATCATCGTAAGCTGGAGCGGATCCACCTTCTGTGATTACTGGCTTCCCTGACTCAATGAAATTGGTTATAGCCGACAATATTTCCGCTCGCATCAATGCCCAGTCGGTTTCTTCGTCCTTCTTTGTGACAGTGATGAAATCTTGCCCAAGAAACACCGACCGTACGCCATTGATGTGGAACAGTTCTTCTAAAACAACATACAAAATTCATGTAAACAAAACAAATTCGCGACATTCAAACCAGCATTCAAAACTTTGCATCTTTAGGGAGCTTTTAGTCTCCCGACTAGGATTTAGACTTCATTTTGTGCCCGTCATCTCAGAGGGACAGCATTACGACACAATTTTATACAGCCTTGACGCTGGGGGAGTTCCGAACAGAGGATGGCGCGACGCCAGCCCATTTTCCATCAACTGTTGTAGCTTGCCAACTTCAACAATCGGTGGAGAAGGGGCTGACGCCGCACCATACCCTCCCCCATGACATGCCCCATCATCCGCAGCAAGCGAGACTACATATTAAAACGCACAAATCCATGACAAAACGAAATCTCACCTAGCAAGTGGACTATCCCTCGCTGATGCAACAGACGTAAATTCGTATGTCCTCGGTTCGTCAAGGATTGCTTGTCCTGGCAAGAACTTCAGCGACAACGGATTTGGCGTATCTTGCATTTGAATATACAGGGAACGCACTAAAAACAGCTTGACAGTTACAATGAATAAAATTCCATCGCTTCTCCTTCAGCTAGGATTCCAGTTCCTGCGAAAGTCATGTGAGACATCGATGAGCAGGACTCATGTCAAAGTACCACTGCGTTTAGACCGATAATTTTGACAATTGACACATCTGTTTGCGCATGGGTGATTACCTTTACTTTTCCCATAATTCTGCTCTGCTTGTCAGAGGATACTTGCTGCCCGGGTGTATGTCGGATGGTGCGACTAATATTAGGTAGTAATGAGGAGCATAAGCCGTGATTGCCACCTCTACCGCGTCCCCGAGAATCACCTTCTGCCCAGTGCAACTCATCCACACCGCCTAAATTCGAAATCAATGGATCGCGGGATCGCTATGTTATGATCACTAACTTGCGTGTAGAGCACAAGTCATCGGCCTGTATGTGTGGCCGTGTTGACGAAAATGGGGACAATATAGCATT